AGTAACCTTAGGTTGATGCTGAGGCTATGGAGAGCTGGTCCTACAGCTCTGCACGTCACCAGTGTATGGAAAACCCCAAACAGCCAAAAATGTTTTTGTGAGGTTTGGGGGGACCGTAGTATGTGCTGGATGGAGACCAGCAGCAGACAGGACTTGGGTGCATCCACTCACTGTTATTGTGGAAGAGGGAATGTTAACTTCTGGCACAGGCTGAGGTGCACATCCTGCACATCCCTGGTACCTCAAACCATCCTAAATGGGGTCTGAGACTGTCCAGCACATCCTCTGCCAGTCTCCCGTTCCTGCTTTCCTTCTGCCAGGAATTGTTCCCAACTGAAATGCAAATGCAAAGTTATGTGAAAGAATTAACAGGAGAATGCAAAATATTTTCCAAGTGCCAGCAAGACAGACACATACACACAGAGAAAATAATCAGGGGCCCCTGATTTAATGGCTCTTGAGTGCCACAAAGAGCAGGAGCATGCATGAAGCTACTGGTTGGCAGATATCTTTTGTGTCAAGCTTTATCCACAGAAGGTACGTCTGGGGGTCTGAAATCAGATGGTTTTCATACTCCTTCACTTCTGGCTGAGCCGCAGCACCTTCACAACCTTCCCTCTGTGGACATGAAGCTGTTTAAGTAAATCCTCTCAGAGAACAGGTTTAAGTTCTGCTTAAAACATCTCCAGTGAGGGATGGAAGAACAGATAAAGCACATGGATATTTGACCTTGCCCCATTACAAACCACATTTGTCATCATGCCTTTGAGATGGCCCAGAGCAATACTCCACCAGTTTTAGATGGGCTTCTACCTGAATGGGAGCTCACTTACGGCCATGAGGGCAGAAGGAAGGATGCCACGATGAGGCCAGTGGACAACACGGGAAGTAGGTGGGGAGGAAAGAAAGAGTTTCCATTCTCAAACCCTTCATCAGCTGATTTAACTCCAAGCTCCTTACCAATCGACTTCTCTAACAATACTTCGACTGTTGGTGGACCCAAAGACTAACTCATTGAACTTTTGGCTTCTGGTGACTGCCTGACTTGTACTCCTCCTGCCAGCATTTGGGGCACCTCACAGAGCAGAGCTGTCAGGACAGAGGAAGAGCAGAACAGAGATCTAAGGTGTGAACACCAGGAGTGCTCCTGGAAAAATGTTATTTTACAAACACCCAGGGCAAAGCCCAGCTGCTGAGATACAGGGATTTAGTGTCTGCTGGGAACTGAGCTCTGGCTGCTAGCCCACCGACATGGGGTCATCCTGCAGGTCCTGGTTCATATTTTATATTCCAGTGGCATTTTCCAGTCCCGTGTAGAATTAGGTGGAAAAACAAGGAGGCCGTGCAGGAGGTACACCCTGCTCCAGAAGTAAGTTCATCTGTGGCATGGTGCATTTTCTAAGCCAGGCCTTGGCTGTGCCATTGCAGAAACATAGGTGAGGAGGGATCCAGAAGCTCTTGTCATCGTGTCCCTGCACTTTGCTCTGCTACAGCATCCACCTCTAATTTCCATCCCTGGAGCAGAGCCGCTGTTTATTAAACCCAGGCCAGCAAGGGCTTGGCAAGGCATGCAGGCTGGAAGGAACCACTAGGGAGCCAAGGGGAGGCCAGACAGACTGATTCCTTCTTTTATGAAAATGGGGAGGCTGCTTCCAGAGTCTTCAAAAAGATCAAGTGTGGATGTAGTGCTGCTTGGAGGATCAGCCTGGCCAGGAGACAACACAGCACCACGTCCACAGAGCAGGCAGCAGCTGAGTCTGGAGCAAGGGGCTGCTCTGCTCTTGCTCCTCCCAGCTTTTTGGTGTATTTCCACAGCAGAACATATTACATGGCGGGAGTGAGGTGGGGCAAGCACCTCTACTCCTCAATGAGGGCACCACCAAGGCCAGGCAGAGCACCCTTCTCTCCTGTAAGAAAGCCCAAGCTGTGCCTGTCCATGTGCTTGGCCACAGCCTGGATGTGGATCTCGTGGGGATGGCACAAAGCACTTGGTCACGGTCCTGGGTGGCTCCCCATGTGGGATTTCATGCTTGTCTCCACACAACTGAGCCTGGAGCTTCAGAAGGAGCTGGGCTGCGGGGGACCTCAGGGACTCCTGCAGACTTTGTGGCAGTGTTTGTTTGATGACTGCTGTGCAGAGCTAAAAATACTCCAGCTATGGTTAGGAGTTCAGGATAACTAATACACCCAGTGGAAAGATTTGGAGCTGTTCCAGGGCTAAACAACAGCTTCTTCACCAGCAGCCAAAGACTGGTGGATGCAAAAATAACTAGAAACTGAAAAACTTGAGCTCGAGCAAGAAATTTTCAAACTGAACCCCCCCAAAAAAACTTTCTAGTAGTGAAGACGCTCATGGAAAATCGTCAGCACTTCGGTTGTTTTAACAAGAGGGTACACAGACCTCTGGATTTAGGCTGGATTCTGCCTCTGGGCAGGAGCTAGGAGAATTTAAGGAGAATTTAGTATTTAAAGAGAATGCCTTCATTATGAAGGTAAAAACAAATTACACTGATAATATGTTATCCCAGTGGTCTGGATGAACAGCAAAGGTGCAGAGGGAAACACCATGATGAGAGGTTTCCACTTGATGTTTTATAAAGTGAGGGGAATGGCCCAAGAACAGACCACCAGTGACTGTGGGTGCTGGAAAAAAGGCTGTGGAATGAGATACCTTCCAGCCACACGAGGGTTGGGGAACAGAGGCCAAGCAAGGGTTTCAGACATCTGTCTACAGACCCCAAACACAGCTGGGGAAGGAGTAGAGGGAGCAGTCTCCTGAGCACATCTGTGCCATGGTGGCAGAGGATACCCAGGCTCACATCTCTGCCTGGGGTTTCACCCCACACTGTGCATATCCCCCATTGCTCTGCCCTCATTATTGTTCCACCCTCATTATTGTTCCATGCTGAAGGTGGTGAGAGTGAGCTCAGCTCCCCATGGCCCGGGTGCTTGGCTGGGGCTTTGCATGCCCATCCCTACCCCAGTGAATACTCAGTGCCTTGCTAAGACAGTTCGAGAGAGCCCAGCCTCAGGTCTCTCACACCCAGCAGGCATGAGAGAACAGCCATGGTCCCCCAGGATGCTCATGGCAAGGCAGGGGGCTGTAAGGGGTGCCTGGCTGCATGCTCCACCACAAATGTAGTGAGGGACACAGGGACTCACAGGGCTTGGGACATTGGTGCTGTTCAGACCCTGCATTCCTGCATCCAAGTGCTTTGGTTTAGAGAAAGTCCTTGGGGAGTCTAATGAGCTGATGATCCCAGGTGGACTGAGGCAGGGATGGATCCCAAACCTTTATGCCTTTGCCTGGAGGTGTCATGGCCATCATAGGTTTACCCAACCTAGGTCCTGCTCAAAATGGGGAGTCCTGTCCTCCTCCCCCCCCAAAAAAAAATCCCAAAAGAGCCTCCAAGTCCTCATGAGTGCTGAGAAGTGTTTATGCCCATTCCGGGTCCCCTTGCAGAAGCTGTTATCATAATTAGCTGAAATGTTTCTCCATTAGGCATAGTTTTCCTCTTCTCCCACCACATCAGCCCTCATGAAACAGTCACTTTTCTCCCCTTGCTCTTGTTCAAGATGTACCAGGCTGCAGGCAGGACCTGCTGCCCTCCCCAGCCTGGCCTCAATAGCACGGCTTGTTCTTTGTGCAGGGGGTGACAATCCATTGACAGCTGATGTAAATCCCAAGAACAGCACTGAGAGCAGCCCAATAGGCACCCCCTGAGAAGATCTGGCCACTGAAATACAATAACATTGATGTGCCAAGCCAGGAGACTTGAAGGTCCCAACAGTCTGCGGGATGTGATGGTGAATTATCACTCCCTCACAGACACATTTTTAATAGATTCCTTTCTTACTCCACAGCTGGTGCAGAAGCTTGGTTGTGCACCACAATGCTACCAAGGAGAATGCAGGGTAGGGAAAGTGATGATTCTGAGCTTGGCTGAAGGTATGGAGGTATAGGAGACATATTCCCACACAAGACCTGTCCTTTTGTCTGTTTTGGGATAAAAATTGTAGCCAGTGCCAACCGTGTGTTACAGAGTAGGCAGCAAACCCCTGCTCTGTGAGACCAGCCCTTTTTGCCAACCCTCACACTCCCACTTGGTTGGGTGTTGGGATGTTGGTCAGTTTTGGACGCACGTTTCTGGGGAGATGGGGCTGAGGTGGTTCTCATGTTTTTATAACAGGCTGGCAGGGTGCAGCATCTCCTGAAGGTGCTCTGGCTCTTCTCCAATGGTTCAGCCTAGCGGTTGGTTCTGACGTGAAAGGAGTCCCTTCTGACCACTTCCAGATAGAAAACTCCCTCTGGTGTGAACAGGCACTTGACTGATACATCTTCCCATGGGAGGTCACAACCAGGCCAGGACACACACAGAAGGCATGTGCCAATGGAACAGCCACCATCCTGCGTGGCACTGGCCACCGTGGCCATGCCTTTCTCCCTGTCCTTGGACTTGCAAGCTGGTGGGTGATGGACCAGTCCCAGCGCTGTTTAACCACACAACGTTTGCAAACCCTGATAAAAGGCTCCCGCTGGGGCTAGGCATCTTTCGGTTCAAGCTGCTCCGTGGTGCTCACAGCCAGCTCTTGAGGAGGGTCCTCGGCATGGAGCAGCACCCCTACCGCTGGCTGGGGTCTCCGCGGATCTCCCACCCACCCTCTTTCCGCGGTGCCCCGGGGATGACACTGACACCCCGAGCAAGGCCGGCGGCAGCCATGGCCGGCGCACACTGATCCCCACCAGCTCAGCCTGGGGGCAAAGTTCAGCGGGGCTCCCGCTGGCCCGGGGGCCGCTGCGGAGGGACCGTGAGGCACAGCGGAGCACCCCGTTTCCCCGCGGGGAGGGCCCGGCCGCCGCCCCGCCCCGCCCCTCCCGGCCCGGCCCGGCCCGGCCCGGCCCGGCCCGCCGCGCTGAGTGGGCCCCGCGGCGCGGCGCGGAGCGGAGCGGCGGGCGGGACGCCACGGGGCGGGGCGGGACGCGGCGGCTGAGCCCGGCGAGACAGCGGCAGAAAGTGCCACGACTCCATACGGCGGCGGCGGTGAGTAGGGACCGCAACCCGGCACGGGTGGGTAGTGGCGGCGGTAGCCTTTCCTTTCCCCCGGCCCCTTACCCGGCCACCGCTTCCGCGATCCCCCTGCGCCCGCCCCGCGCTGCGAGCGGGACCCCCAGCCCGGCGCTGCCCCGGCCCCGGCATTCAGCGCGCTCGGAGCGTGCTGGGACCCCTGAGCTGCGGCCCCAGCCGGAGCCGTGTCCAGCGGGGAGCGGCGCGGGGAGCAGGGGGGATCCCGGCCCGGGGTCCGGCCCATGCGGCGGGGGCCGGGCGGATGAATGGCCTTGAGCGCGGAATGGCGGCGTGTGCGGGCAGGGCGAGGTCCGGGCTCCGCGCTGCCCCCGGCCCCGAGCGCCGTCGTCCTTCCCCAGCGCCGGCCGGATGACAATTACTAATCTGATTAACCGCGCTTACAGAAGGTCCCGGCGCTCGGGCCGCTGTCCCTTGTCCGTTTTCCTTCCTTAACTAAGCCCCCCCGACAAAACTCTTCTGGCCCTCGGAGACCCCTGGCAGCGCGGAGTTTTTAGACGGAGGCTTCGACCCCATAAGCGGAGACCCCCCCTCCCCGCCCACCGTGGGGCCTCTGCAGCCTTGCTGCAGGTCTGCCCCATTCCTCGCCCTGCCGGGGAAGTGGTCCAGCGGAAGAGCGTGTGCTGCACACGTGGCTGAGCGGGATGGAGAAGTGTCCGCGCTTGGAATGCCAGCTCTCACCTTTGTCGAAGCCCCGCATCAGCCAGAAATGGCTAGAAGGAGTCGGGGCTACCTGGGATGTGAGCCCCAGGGAGGAGCTGATGGAGACCGGCAGTGAAATGCCGCTTCGGGCCAGGGAGGGGAGAGAAAATTTCTAATAGCCGCTGCAGAGTTTAGTCAAGCTGCAGCTGTGTTGTGCTATTACACTCTTCTCCTATATATACATGTATTATCTGCCTGTTTTCTCGCTCCTGGACTCAGGAAGGGAACTGGCAGCATTGCTGGCAAGCACAAGCCAGCTGGCTGCTGCTGCCAGAGCTAATGGAGCACTAAGACATGTTCAATTAAGTCGAGCTCTAACTGTTGATGATGGGCTGATCTGGAGTTGCTGCGTGGAGTAGCACATGCTGCTGGGGGGCTGGAAGTGCACAGTCACTTAAACGGAAAATGCATTTAAACAGAGGCTGCTGGCAACGTGGGCAGTATCTGCTCATGGCATGCAGGCTTTTCTCGTTTGTTTTTAATTTTTGGTCTCTCTCTGTTGCCACAGGGTGGAGAGAATAACTGCAGGAGGAGTATCTGGTGATTGTTTTTTTAATCTGCTGTCAGTGCTGTTGCTTTCTCCTGCTGCTAGGCTGCTCTGCTGTTCACAGGTTCAAGCCTTCCTAGTTCCCTTGTCCTTGCCCTTTCTCTCCTTTTTTTTAAGCTGCTGAGATATGTAGAGAAAGGGATGCTGCAGGTACTTCACAGGCAGGCATTTCTATGGGTTATGCAGAGCACATCTGTGTGAACCCAGTTCTCTCTTTGCCCTCTGACTCCTCATCACCCTCCTGCATTGCTCTAAACTGAGATGCCACCTTGGCACCATGGCAAAGTGGAAGCCTTGGATTGCAGGGGGAACAGTCCTTCTTGCAACGAGCATCTTTTCTTATCTGCAGCACTTGTTGACCCCAGGAAGAGATAACATGTATTTTCCTTTGGCTGTGGGAAGAAATAAGGTTTCTGAAGTTACTGCACAACCTGACTCTTCCATTGCTCCTGCCCACCTGTTGTGTGGCCTGGGTGATTTAAAGATGCTGTATTCCCGTGGATTTCATGTATGGTCACAGAGGGGAGGACAGGCTGAACAGCTGGCGCGGTTCTGGCTTGGTGTTTGACACAGCTGTCAGTGACAAATGTGACCACAAGACACTGAGCATGGCCCCGGTGCTGTCATGTCACGTGTCTGTGGGCTGGTTCATCCTGGAAATTGTTTAGTGCTGAAAAACTAGCAAGGCTTAGTCCTTTTCTGGTTCTTCTTCCTTAGGGTGAGTTGGACTCTTGCTCAGGTCAAACAGAGGCTGCATGTGGAGGGAGGTGAGGGAGGTCAGGTCTCTTGGGCTGTTATCTGGGATTTTGGGAAGCTTGATGTATAGCAAGAAAAAGCCACAGGAGTAGAAGTCAGAGCACAGCATTTCAGCCAGCTCCTTTACATGAGAAGGCCAAGCGAAATACCAGCTGTCCATTTTATTCCTGTTCTGAAGGTGGGGACAAGCTGTTTTGGGGTGTATGGAGAGATTTGATGATTTCTGCTGTTTTGGCTGGGAGAGGAATGGAGGATGCTCCAGAAACTTCATGGAAATCAATGTACTCAGAGTTGGATGTGAACTTGATTTTTTGAGCATGGACTCTGATAAGTGCTGGTGTCCACTCACTTCTTGGACACACAGCCATCTCCTGAACAGATGGAAAAATGCCATTGTAGGAGTGACGTCCCATGGAGGACTAGAAGCTACAGAAGGGAGGATCCTGAAGTTTTTGAGCCTCTTTAGTGTGTGGCTGTCAAGCTGAACATGTGAGACTACCTTTGGTGCCCTATTTTGCCATGTCTTGGCTAAGACTTTGTCCAGCTGGGAAGCATGGAGGGCTTTCCTGCCAAAGGGCATGCATATTTGTAAGGGGGATGGTGTCTTGTTGTGCAAATCCAGGAGTAAACTTCCAGGCCTCCGAAGGGCAAAGGTGGCAAGGTCAGGAAATGTCAAAGCAGAGCTTCTCTCCTGGGTGCTGACACTGTGGCATAAATGCTTCTGGCATCTCTGCACCAGGAAGTCCCTGTAGGAAGACTTTTCCTTATCCCCCAAATGCCAAGGCCAGCCTGGCCTTGATTTAAGCATATGTGGCTGTCTCTGCACTATTGGAGAGATGGGCTCTTCCCTGAACAAGTTGTTGGGCTGGTTGTGCCAAGTCCCAACCACAGGAGGAACCCTACAGGTAGAACTCGCTCCTCGGAGTCAGAACTGGGGCTGCAGGGCGCGAGCACTGGGAGAGGACCAAGGTTTGCCATGGCAATGATTGCTTCCTGATTGGCACCACTCACTCCTTCCTGTGGATTTTCTGCCAGCAGATCTGTCCTTGGGAACAGTTTGGGGTTCTCCTGGTCGAGCAGTGGGAGCTTGGATGGCCTCTGAGCATCTCAGCTACTTTCAGGAGCTCTGGCTGCTGTCATGGCTCTTTTGCAGGTCCACAGCTCCTCAGTACTCTCGGCTGCTTTATTCCTGTATTGCTTTTGGTCTGGAGGGGGTTGTTGGGGTGCTTTTGTTTCTCTAGGAAGGACTTTAGTGCTCATTTACATCCTTATCTCACCCTGGCTTTAAAGCAGGAGGCAAGGTACAGGCAGCTTTTACTGCAGCCTGTGGGGCTGGGTGAAGCTCTCTGTGAGGCAGAGAGGGTGTGGGGCTCTGGAAGGGCTTCTGGGGGACAGTCCTGTGGGGTGAGGTGTGGGGCAGGCACATGGCTCTGGTGCTGTGATGCCACATCCAGCACTGCTGTCTCAGCACCTCACTACCCTGTCTTTGTCGTCTCAGGCATCCTCATCCTCAAGAGATTGGGATTTCTTCCCCCATTCCCATCCCCTCTGGGCTCCATCAAGCCGTTTTTGAGGTGGTGGGACTGGAGTGCGTTTTTCAGCACTTGGGGATGCCCTTGCCCCAAGCTGGAGCAGCAGATTTTTACCTAGATTTGAAATTGTGGTGCTGTGGGGTCAAGAAGGGCTTATTTTTTCAAATATGTTTGGGTTGCTGGGTGAGGAATGTAGGTCACCTTGTTCTGCCCCTGAAACAGCTCCTGGGTCCTCTGGTGTAGCCCTAAACCCAGCACAAGATCGTGGGTATGTGTCCTTCAGCCCTACTTTTTATTGACTGACAGGGAAAGGAAATCCTGTCCTTTTCACCCTGCAGATTAGGAATTATCTGTCTGTCCTGGTTGGGACCATCCCAAAGCAGTGCTCCCTAGTCAGGAGGCAATGACTTGGCACCAGATGTGCTGGGATAGAGTGGACTGAGGCCATTTAAGTGCAAAATAGCCGGGGTAGATGTGAAATAGTAATAAATGGTGCCTGAAGTATCAGCTGAGATCTCCAGCAGTGCCCTGGGGTAGAAAATTGGCCCTGACAGGGCTGGCTGGTTCCAGCTGGCATGGAGAGCTCTCCTGTCTGCCAGCTTCTCTCTCTGCTGCTTTACCTGGGATGCTTGGAGAGGTGGGCAAGGAGAGCTGGGCTGCTGGTTAGAACATCATTTCCCAGACAGATTGAGTATCTCCAGTGGGAGATTTGTAGTTTCTCCCAGCTCTGCACCCCCTGCTTAGGTGCTGGAGATGAGTTTTCACTACACTGTCCCCACCTCGAGCAGCTTTGAGCTGCAGATTAAAGTTTTCTGCTCCAGCTCTTAGAAAGGAAGGGCCTCCGAGGTGTTGCCCTGCAAGCACTGAGGTTTGAAAAGATGCTGATCTCCTTAGTGTTATTCTTATTTTTGCCTCCTCCCCTTCCAGCCCCTCTCTCCCTCCCCCTTCAACCCACAACCTCTTAAAGAGGAAATTCGATAATGTCAACAGTTAAGCGTGGGGATGAGAACTCCTGGTAGCTGAGGACTTTCTGCATTTTGCTCGTTCTGTTTTGATTAATAGTGATAAGGAACCACAACCACGGAACATGTCCCTTTCCAGATTAACTGCCTGACACCAGCATCTGAGGGATTGTGAGCCACCTAAGAGCCACGTGGAAGTGATGCCGTGGTGGATGAAACACGTAGATGGGCCAGAAAAAATTGGCTTTGAAACCAGGGCAAGTTCAAATTTCCATTAAGAGGAGTGGAGATAGCAGCATCTTTCCTCAAATGTGGCTGAGCCCTGCTTGCCAGACCTCAGAGCAGGCAGTGTGGTCTCTGCTGCTGCTCAGCAGCAGTGTACAACTGGCAAAGAGAAGAGGGATGGCATGCTGCAAAGCTTTCTCCTCCCAGGGGGATATTTTATTCCAAAGATGACACTTGGATATGTATCTGGGTACAGTGAAAAAGCCAGGTGCTCCAGGGAAAGCCCAGATTTTGGCCAGCCTGCTCCCAGCAGTCTGCAAGTGGGCTCTCTTAACTGCTGCAGGTACAGCTTAGGGTCATACAAAACCACCCCATTAGACATAGAATGAGGTTTGTGGCTAACTCTGCATCCCTGTTTTTTAATTCCTTCTCTTTGGTTCTGCTGGAGATGATATTTAGTCATTGAGGTACAACTGGAGCCCTGTGTAGCAAATTTGGGGGTGTGCAGGTGTGCAGGCAGGTCAGCCTGAGCTGTGTGAATCTGGAGTGTTCCTCTTCCCAGTGCATGGTGCCATTGGAAGGCACAGATGCCCATGTGAAGATCCTTCTCAGAAAAGCCATTGCATTTCTTTCCTCCCCTCCTGCCTCTAAGTGTTGTCCTGGTGTCTTGCAGGCACAGAAGAGCGAGGCAGGATGGATGTGTACGACCCTCAGACTCTGGGTGTTATGGTCTTTGGAGGCTTCATGGTGATCTCAGCCATTGGGATCTTCCTAGTGTCCACTTTCTCCATGAAGGAGACATCTTACGAGGAAGCCTTGGCCAAGCAACGCAAGGAGCTTGAGAAAACCCAGCAGCAGAAATTAGAGAAAAAGAAGAAAGAGAAACCATTTGAGAAAAAAGGAAAAGCAAAGAAAAAGGAAGAGAAACCTAATGGAAAGATCCCAGAGCAGCAGCTTACTCAGGAAGTGACGGACCCTCCCAAGGAGGTGGTTCCTGAGCCTGCTGTGGTTCCTGAGCCTGTAACAGTCGAAACTCCAATTGCAGCAGTGGCAGTTGTCCCCCAGGAGAAGGAGAAACCTGTTCCATCACCTAAGGAGAAGAGGAAGAAGGAGAAGAAGGTGGCAAAGGTAGAGCCTGCTCCTAGCCCGGTGTTGGCTCCACCCCCTGTCAGCATCCCCAAAAGTTCTCCTGTCCGGGAGGTGGCCCCTAAGGAGGTGCCTATTATGGCAGTGCCCCCAGTTGGCACTCATCAAAGTGCTCCAGTCATCACCTCTGTTGCTGTCAGGAAAACTGAGGCTCTTCCTGCCCAGGAAGATCAGAAACATGATGGACCTGCCAAGAAAAAGGCTTCATCCAAGAAAAAGAGTGAGCCAGGTAAGGCCAAATTCCTCTGCCTATATCCCTTTGGTCCAGCACACAGGCATTGGAGAGTTACAGCTTCCTCTGGGATTTGCTGTTGTGCTGCTGGATCTGCACATGGGAATGAATGAGAGGTGCATGTCCCTGTCCTGGGAGAGGGGCAGCTGCCAAGGTGCTGCATATCTGGGTGGAAAGCCAGGATGAGGTGTTTTCCCCATGGAACCCTGACTGTTAGAAGTACAGTGGGGCTCTCTGACGCTTCTTCATGGAGCTGGGTCACTGCTAGTGTTTCTTCCTCCTTTGGTGGAGGTGAAGAAGAATTCTTCAAGCAGGGAGGATTGATGGAGTTTTATACTGCAGGGGATTGATCGTAGAGTAAGTAGAGGGAAGTGACTTTGGGTCTCTCACAGTGAAGGGAAAGCTTGCACATCATCAGTTGTGCCTGACTTGATTGACTTAGAGATAGAAAAGATCAAGTGGTCCCAAACTCTGCAGAGTATAAAAAGGTGTAGAGAGGGCAAAATCAGCTCTCTAGCTGAATTGTTGCCTCTCATTGTTCCAGTGGGAACAGTTTGGGATTTATTTTTGGTTAAGTGATAATTACAGGCACTAAAAATGTGAGTGCTTTCAGACTTGTGGAAGGGCTCCCATGTGGACACATAGGAGAAATCTCTCAGGTGTTTTCAAAGATATGATGTGATGTGCGTAGGTTTAATTTCTTTCTTTCTTTCTTTACCAAAAAAATCCCCAACACACCAAATGGAAAGACAACCTTTCTTGCTGCCCTTCTGCAGCACATCCAAACCTGCTGTGCAGACTGGCAGTTCCCACACACACGAAGAGGGCCTGCTACTCAGCAGGGCATTTGCAGCTGCTGGGTTTCAAAGATGGGTTAAACCCCTTGATTCTGCTCTTCTGAGGGACGGATTTTACTAAAGGCCATCTCTACACGGTGATGGGTTTTGGAACGATTGGAGAATACCCTGGAGGGTATTGCAGGGGTGGTGTTGGGGAAACTGGAGGGGACTGGTTTGTTGCATGCACCCATGTGAAAAACAGCCCTAACTCCAAACAGTAACGGCAGAGGGAATGTGGCTGGGAGATGATCTTGCAGCATTTGTTAAGTTGGGAGGATTTTTGGTGCTCCAAACTTAAATTCTCTTGGGTGTGAAGTGCCACTCCTGTGTATCCTGAAAGCGAAGAGTGATGTCTTAGCTGCTCCTTGTGGGATTTTGCAAAAGAAAGCTCTTGGTAGGATTTGTGCCATGAAGCCAACTGCAGTTTGACCAACATGTTTTGAGCAGCTGTGGTCTCTCCTCAAATGCGAAAGAGCTAATTATCCTGTGGTAGATAAAAATGGCTGTTCAAAGTATTCAAGGACACGTCGTCAGCACTGAAACAGATGGCAAAACTGACAGGAATGGCTCGGGATATTTTTCTCCCGCGACTCCACCTGAAGAGGGGTGGAATTCTGCTTGGTCTGTCCCTGCACGGAGCAGGACTGAGCCAGGGGATGCCATGTGCTGTCCTGCCGCCCTGCAGTTGCCAGCATGAGTAAAGTGTGAGCCAAGCCTCGGCCCTGGTTGCACAAGGGGGTGGAGCTGCCCCGGCTGCACTGCTGGGAAATGTCTGTGGCTGGGGACACAGACTTGGCTGCTGCCAGGGCTTGGAACTGCTGTCCCAAATGGATCTATCAAAGATCACTTAGCAGTTACTGTCACTGGCCAAACAGACTCAACTTGGGGAAAACTAATTTATTCCCCATTAAAATAGATGAGAAACAGTGATTTTTTTTAGAAATTAAAACAGCGCCATCCCCCCTGCCCTTATTCCCAGGCTCCACTTTACTCCTTCCCTCTTGATCCCTCTACCTCCCATCCCTGAGTGGTGCAGGAGGATGGAGACTGTGGTCAGTTTCTTACAGCCACTCTCTCCAGCTATTTCCTCCTCACACCTTTCCCCTGCTCCAGAGTGGGGCTCTCCATGGGCTGCAGTCCTTTGGGAGGAACCTGTTCCAGCATGGAGTCCATTCTCTAGAGGAGAATCTCTGCTCCAACACCTGCAGCACTTCCTCCTCCTCCTTCTTTGAACCTTGCTGCTTGGGGCACCCAAAGCTTTGTATTCAAGAGACTCTGGTGTTAATGACTTCAGGGTCTCTGGAGCTACTAGACTCCAGACCACTTTTCCTTCTGTGGTTTTCTAGGAAAATGAGCCCACTGGGCCGTAGATACATGCAGGAGCCCCTAAACCACTGCCTGCCACCCTGTGTGTATTGTGACCATGTGTACTGAGGTCCTATAACAGCATCATGGTCTCTGATACTCCCTGGCTTTCCCAGGTTAGCAGGAGAAGGGTTGGAGTCATGTTGCTCCCTTAGCAAAGAGCTAGAAAAAATTTGGCTGGTGAAAGCTGCGAGATTACCTCGCTGTCATTGGCATGACCGTGTGGAGTGACATTCTTTAGCAAGGTTGTATTTTGGTGTGGTGCAGCTTCTGATGCCCAATATGTCTCAGCCCCCTGGAACCCCCTGGTCCCAGCTCCTGCTTAGAATCTCTCGGTTGGGTAGTGGGTAGTGGCAGCTGCTGGGACCAGTTGTTGAGCCAGGCAGAGGTGACAGCTGACTCAAGGAACACGTGTGTGATGTCTTCTCCAGCACTTTTCCTACTGTTCTCACGTAGGTACCAAATGTGACTGGAAATCTGGGTGGATAATGGTTTGAGATGGCAGCTATGGAGGGTTGAAGCCAGCTGAGATGATACAATATTTCTGCTATTGTCCCCAGAAGTCATAATCCCACCTCTCTCCTCCCTAGCACCTACGGATTCAGATGGGGCCCTGTACCTGCCCTACAAGACACTTGTGTCCACAGTCAGCAGCATGGTGTTCAGTGAGGGGGAGGCCCAGCAGCTCATCGAGATCCTGACAGAGAAAGCAGGAATCATCCAGGACACGTGGCACACGGTAGGGCTCTGCCAAGCCTCTGCTGAGCCTCAGGAAGTGCAAGGGGAGGGAAGGCACCCCATTTCCAGGCAGGCTGGCCCTGAGGGTGTCTGGGAGAATGGAGCCAAATTTTCCCCTGGAGCAGAGGGCAGGATGTTGCGCAGGTGGGATGAAGAGGATGGGTCTGAAGGTGGTGGTCCCCACTGATGTGCCACCCCATGCTGGCAGGCCACGCAGAAAGGTGACCCAGTTGCTGTCCTGAAACGCCAGCTGGAGGAGAAGGAGAAGCAGCTCTCTGCCGAGCAGGAGGATTCAGCTGCTGCCAGGAACAAACTGCGGGAGCTGAGCAAGGTGAGTCTTGTGTGGCCCTCGTGTCATCCCCGGTGTGGCATCTGCTCCTGGTGGCTCTCCATGTGCCTCCTGCTCCCCACATCTCAGCCCCCGATGAGATGCTTCCCTTCCCAGAAAAGGGAGGAGACCGCCCTCTGCCCTCCTCTCTTGGGCCTGCTCCAGTTTGGGGAGGTGCCAGACCAAAGAACTTCAGGGTAGTGTCTACTGGCAGCCATGGGAAAACCCTTTCTGTAAGAGATTGCAACTTTCTTCTCCTTCACGAGAAAAGCAAATCCTACCTCATTTCAGCTCCCCTGAGCCTTTGTAGGGAACCTGATCCTATTTACAGTGCCCTGACTCAGCCCCCTGCCTCCACCTCTTTGGAGGCAGAACAGATCCCTGCCATGCTGAACTTGCGGCTGTAAAGTCCATCTGCTTAATTTTTCTGCTTTGCCCCAAACGTTGTGTGATGTTATTTATCCTGGTGGAGGACAAAATAAAATTCCAGGCTGTCTTACTCCTTTCTCTTAGCTGGCCCAACATGGAACAACAGTGGCATCCAGTGGCCACTGAGCCCAAAACAAAATGCAGGAGGAAATGTAAGTGCTAAATGTACCTGGGCATGGGGGCAGCAATGAAAAGGCTAAACTTTGTAGTCTGCTGAGCTAGGAGGCCACATCCTCTTAAAATGGGGAAACCTGTGCTCTGAGGACTAACGGGGGCCTCCTTTCCTGGTAGGAGCTGGCAGCTGAGCGGACCAAGGCAGTGGCTGTGGAGGGCAAGCTGAAGGAGCAGCTGCTGGCTCGCGAGCGGGAGATCGTGGCAGTGCAGGCACGGATGCAGGCCAGCTACCAGGACCATGTCAGTGAGACCCAGCAACTCCAGGGCAAGGTGAGCCCCATGCACTTGCCTCCTTCCTCTGCTGGTGGCAGATGTGTGACCTTCTGGAGAAGGCTGAGCTGATGGAGGGGGTGAGAGCCTTGGGGAGGGGCAAGACCCTGCAGTGTTCCTGGGCTGTGGTGCCCAAGTTCCCCCCAAATCCCTTTAAGACACTCCCCCCAAACACTCCTTAAACTCACCCAAATCCCTTCCTTAACCCCTTCAGATCCTTCTACACCCCTCTAGGACCCACTTAATACCCCTCAAAGTCTCCAAGTAACCTCTCCCAATCCCCTTAAGCCCCCTCCAAACCTTCTTGGAGAAGGGGCACTTTGGAGCCTCTTCATGGGATGTCACACCCCTGAGGGCAGTCAGCATCAGCAGACACTCTCCTGCATTGCCAGTCCCTCCTGCTCCTCTCCTGGGCTTTGACAGGGGCTGCAAAAGGGCTGGTGGTGGCATTAACCCCTGTTGGGCTCCTCTAGATCCGGACCCTGCAGGAACAGCTGGAGAATGGCCCCAACACGCAGCTGGCTCGCCTGCAGCAGGAGAACTCCATCCTGAGGGATGCCCTCAACCAGGCTACCAGCCAGATGGAAAGCAAGTAAGGCTAGGGGGAGCTGCAGAGCCTGGGGCAGCCTTCTGGCAGACCTTGGCTTGACCACCCCCTTTCCCAAAGGTACTTCTACAGACACCCCAACTAGCTGGAGGTAGAGGAGGCAATGAGAGAGGAAGTGCTTGCTAAATGGCTTTTGGGGATGCACCAGGAGAAACAAGGATGTTCTTCCCAAGTGAAAGGGCAGGGAATCTTTCTCTCCTTCGGGGGTCATCTGTTCTGATGACAGAACCAACAGGCAGTGGAGGGGGGAGAGGGGATTAGAAGGCACTGTGGTGTTTATCCCCCTTAGGGGAGCTCATACTCTCAAACTTGAGAAGAAATGCAGCTGTCTCTTTGACGGGAGTGATGCTGCAGAGAATAGACCCCAGCCCAGTGTGCACAGAACAAATAGGAGCTAGATAGAAGAATTTCACACTCCTGTTTATAGACAGTCTGAAATGACTGGTGATTAACAGCACGCAAGTAACTACAGAGTGGACTCCAGCTGTAATGCTTCCTCTTGTGTCTGGGAGCACAGATCCATGTGTCCTCTACTTCATAAGAAAGGAATGTCTCCTGTGACTGAAACAAGACTTTTTAAAAGTGATTTGTTGGCTCTTTCCACCCCCTCCCTGAAGGACCAGGAGTGTCCTAGAAACAGGCAAATAAAGTTCACCATTTCAAGTCCTGTGTAAGGTTCACAGGGGGATGTGTTTTCCCCAGCCGGCACCAGAGAGGCTTGGCTGGCCTGTGGGCTGAAGCAACTCTGCTTCTGTTGCTGCAGGCAAAATGCTGAGCTGGCCAAGTTGAGGCAGGAGTGCAGCAAGCTGATGAAAGAGCTGTCTGAGAAGTCGGAGGTGCTGCAGCAAGAGGAGCAGCAGAGGAAGAGCTGGGAGATCAAAGCAGCAGCCTCGGAGAAGCGAATTGAGCAGCTGCAGGTCAGGCAGGCGCTGGCAAACCCTCCCCCTTGCAGAGATGGGTGGCTAAATGGCAGGGGATCCATGCACTTGGCCATGGGAAGGGCTAGGAGGGAGATGAATGTCCATGGTTGGGAAAGAAGCTGCCTGGCAAGCTTCCTAATTGCTCTCCCCACCATTAGCTTGTCACATTCTGTGTGCCCCTTGTCTAGCATCACCATCAGAGCCCAGGGAGCAGGATGCCCTGGTTGAAGCCATTGTTTTGCAGGTGCTCTCTCTCTCTCCAACTCAGATGGTTTTAAGCTTGTTGCTCTCTCTCCCTGGTGTAGATGGAGCTTGTGGCTTTACTGGTTGCCAGCAGGGAGTGGCTGAGTCTGGGGTTTTTAGGGGTGTTGAGAAGACACCTCCCCAAGCAGAGCCTCTGAGCACACAGAGGTGTGTTGCAGTCAGGCAGGCTTTACTCACACAAGGAAGAGCATCTTCTTGGGATATTGACAGTGCTCCTGCTGGGATCCTGCTGGAATGTTGCTAAGCTGTGAGCATTAATCCCGGTGCACCAGACAGAGTGAGGGATGTCACTCAGGAATGTGCTGTGGTCTCTGAATTGCTCTGGCCTCCTCAAGAAGGGGCTGTGGTGGAGGAGACCTTTATCTGCACATGCCAAAATAGTTTTGTAGAGGAGTTCGTAGTACAAGGGACCTTCCATATTCTTGCTCTTAATTTTTTGTGTGCCTGAGGATGTGGTTCTCCTTTTGGTGGGCTGCATTTGACTCCTGCTGCTTTTGTGAGGAGCAAGGAGGGTGATGTGAGCACACAGCTGGTGTGAATGCAGGAGCTGCCTTCCTGGCTCAAAGCAGGAACTCCTAGACATACTTCTGGGAAAACTCCGGGGCTGTCAGCTCGCTGCACACCTTAATGCTAATTAAATAAATCACGCTGGCTAGAAGACTCTAAAGTCAGGGATGTGCTTAAGGTGCTGGGGAAAATGTGTTCCACAGTAACACTTGAAGCTCTGAGCTGAGGATATTGAGTCAAATCTCCAAAAACCAGAGCAGCTTTGCTTTCCTGGTGGTGCTGAAAGCATCCTTTGGACAGAGACAGGCCTGCTGCTTTACCTTTTCCTGTCCCCACCATGCAAAGCAATTTTTCTCCATCTGAAAGGAGAAAGCTGTATAAAAAGCTCTATAAAGCTGCAATTCATTCTCCTCCTCCTCCTTTGCCTTCCCCCTCAAAACGCTGCCCTGGCCAGGCCTCTTCCTTGCCACTTTCTATGGTGGAAAATAAAAAGTATATCCCTGTCCTAAATGGCACAGAAAATTCCTCCACGTGTGGAAATGTGGTTGGGTGTCTCTGTCCTGCAAAGCCCCATCCCAGCACCTCTCTCTGCTGGGCTGGGGTGGTTTGAACCAGGGCTCTGAGAGGTTTTTCAGAGTTCTCCAGAGGTTGGCCATGGGGTTGGCCCAGGACCAAGACACTTGGGTATTGTCTACTTCCCAATGTGAGGGCACAGGATAAAATGTGAGCACAATGCAGGGTCCTTTGTGCACAGGGGGAACTTGGTGGGAGGATGACTTTAATCCCCCAAAACACAGCTTAAACATAAGATTATGTGACACATGCAGCTTTGCTTCAGACTGGCTGAGGTGTCTGTCAAGGCTTCAGGAAACCTTCTCTTCCTGCCGTGCAGGCTTACCAACGGGAGGCAGAGGCGATGCTGCAGAAGAGGCTGGATGAGGTCAGTGACGAGCTCCGCAAAACCCAGAGCAGCTACAAGAGCCTGTTGGCAGATGCAGAAAAGACCAAAGGGCAGCAGCAGAGCATTGCTGGTGAGGATCTGGGATCAGCATGGGGAGGGCTGTAGGGCAGACTGGAGACTTGGAGAGCTTGGAGGAGCCAGTTGAGGCAGGACAGGTAAATCCAGGGACGAGTTAGGCTGCGTGGTGTTGGTATGAGCAAGACATGGGCTGGTCCATTGTTCTATCCCAGGATGTTACTCCAATGCCTCTCTCCTGTGCTGTCCTGTATCCCTGCCTGCCCTTTCTGTGCCTCCTCAAAGTATCCATGGCCAAGGCTTCTTTGGCTAAGATCCTGCGTGGACAGAGTAGGGTGAGGAGTCTCCAGGTGTGTTTGCACCTGTCTTACTGTGTTTGTTACCCTTCCCTCCAACAGAACTGCAGGCCAAGCTGCTGAGCTCCGAGGCGGAGGTTAAAAGTAAGCTGCTGGAGTTGGACAGTGTGAAAGGGAAACTGCAGGATGCCAGCTCGGAGAATACAAAGCTTCTGGAGAGGATCAAGTCCATTGAAGCTCTGCTGGAGGCAGGGCAGATGCGGGAGGCAGAAAAAGACAGAGACCTGCAGGTTGTGTGCTCGTTTAATTGGAGTGGGAGGAGGGGAGTGGGTGATACTGCTTACACAATCCCTGGTTTATCTTTGCTCTGGGGTCCTCTCTGGGATGCCACGGAAAGGACTGACCTATATCACATGCCTGGGGCAGGTAATCAAAGTGCTTTCTCTCTTCCAGGCAGCCAATGAAGCAGAAATGAAGCAGCTGCAGTCAAGGTAGGTCCAGGTGCACATCTTGCAGTGGCATCTCCAGCTTGCTGTCCATGTGTCCCAGGCTTCCTCGAACACTGAGCCTGTGGCTGAGGGCTTCCTTCCCAGGCAGGCTTGGGGCTGCCCAGCTGCGAAGTCAAGGTCAATCCTAGCCAACAATGCTGCTTAAAATATTAATTAGCTCTGGTGCTGGCCCTATATAACGGCCAGTCCATTCTGAAGTAGAACTGAATTGCTGGCAGGCACATGAAGTCTGACCACTCCTACAGAACAGGAGGTTCTACTGGTGTTGGGATGTCACTGGTCCAAGTCCCTGCTCAAGGCTGGACCAACCAGAGGAAGTTTTTTTTAGATGTTTCCAGGTATCTCCAGGGATGGAGATTCACCACCACTCTGAGTCCCTATTCCAATGTTTGATAACCTCTTCTCCCACCCCCCAGCACAGAAAGATTTCCTGGCATTTAACTGGGGTTTCCTATATCATGAGTCCTGCCTGTTGTTCCATGTCCATGTGCTGGGCACCTCCAGGCTCTGCATGGGGGGAAGATTTCTCAGATGCTCCCATTGCCAGCAAGCATCTGGCATCCCTCTAAAGGAGGGCAGCTGTTGAGCTGTTCTGAGACCCCAAGAGACTTGTGTAGTTCTTAAGGACCTGAACCTTGGTTTGCTCAAACTGAGGGTCCCTTCAGGGCAGATGGGGCATCTGAGGGTATGGAGGGAACCTGCAGCTTTCTGCTCTCTAGTTGGCAGCCCTGATCTAGGGTTACTCAAGATAGTGGGATAATACTTTCAAAATGCAGAGCTTGGGCTCTCTCAGCCTAATGAGCCACAGATAGGAGCAGTCCTAGTTGTGCAAGCTGGAATTCCTGGCCTTTGCATCAGGTTGCTTCTTTTTGTGTGTGTACTGCTGGCCAGTTACTTGATTGCTTTTTATTGCTGGTAAGGAGGTAGAAAACTAGATCCCATTCAAGTATTGCTGTGGCTGTGGTTTTTAGTCCTCCCTCCTGCTGTGTATAGATCCCAGAGCAGACCAGGATAGGAAGGGCTGTGGTCTCCATCTCAGGAGCTTGCTTTCCATGAGGGAGGTGTCTGCTCAGGCTCACTCCTGCATCCTGCCCTTCCAGACTCCAGGAGAAGACAAACCAGCTCTCAGCCTTGGAAAGGGAGGCTACACAACTGCGGGAGGCAGTGGAACAACAGAAGGTGAAAAACAACGTACGTGAGTGACAGACAACCCATCGTGGTCACCGGCTGATGGCTCCAGGGTGTGGCCAGAGGCTCTTCCAGCCCCATGGAGGCCTGGAGGCATTGCCTCATCTGCCAGGAATACCCCTGGCAGGCTGTGCAACTGAAGCTGGTGGACTGCCTGAGGTGACATGTCTGTCCCTTGTTCTCCTGGAAGGTTTACTGGACCTGGTAAGCCAGAGAGATCCTACCCTGATAGGGCCAAGGTAATCTCTGAGAAGGCTTCTTCACACCTTCCTGCTCCTCTGCTCTTTATCCCTCTACTGCAAGGTGGTGTCATTTGTGTGGAGGCCACCTTGTATCCCTGCACTTGGCCTGTGTCCCCTGCAGGCATCCTGAGTGTGCTTCTGGAGCTCCTGCCCCATCCAGGGCACTGCCAGAGCAATGGGGTGTGAGGAAGCACTGGAAAGACCGGGGAGAAAGGAATGCTGTTGGGCATGGGATGGAAGACTCCTGAGCAAACACAATTCCCTAAACAGAGGCTTTGAAATCCCCTGCAGTGCCAGCAAGCAGCTTTGTGGCCCTTGGCACGGCATGTGGCTTATAGCCCTCTCTGTGTGGTCTCCACAGGACCTTCGGGAAAAAAACTGGAAGGCAATGGAAGCGCTGACCACAGTGGAGAAGGCGTGTGAGGAAAAACTGCTTGTTGCTACAAAAGCAAAGGTGAGCCTGGCATTTTCCTGGTGTTGGAAGAGAAACATTCAGCTTCCCCAAGCCACCAGAGAGGCCTATCCTGGGTTGCCTGCCTGCTTAGGAACAGTGCTGGCTCAACTCTTCTTCAAGCTTCTCCAAAATTTTTCTTGAGGGCAGTACATTTCTAGTACTAGTCATGGCTGGGGAACCAGGGAGATGGTTGAACTGGAAGTGATGTTTTTGTGGTTCCCAGCATCAACAGTTTTCTGTGTTGGCTGGTTTCCCCAGCCCTGTAGGCACAGAAAAGCAGGACCAGTGTTGTCAGCCTGGCCAGCAGGTGCCCAAGACCTCTATTCATTGCAGTTTGTCCCTATTTCAGGAAGAGCTGGCCCAACAGCTGGACTCGCTCTGCACGCAAACCAAGCAGACACTGCTCTCTGCCCTCCCAGGAGTAACCATGTCCTCACAGCAGGTGGGACAGGCTTCCTCAGACCACCCCCCCGAGCCTCCTCTACATGGGAAGGAGATATGTCTAAGCATCCTCCTTCTTTCTTGTTCTCTTTTTTTCAAACTCAGGATTATGACATGTGGCTACAGGAGTTTAAGGAGAAGACTCTGTGTGTGCTAAAGCAGCAGATGATCACAACAGAGCCACCAGTAAGTGAAGTCTGGAAAGTGAAGGGGCGAGGGTGTGCTAGAGGGTCACATGTTTCTTCTTCTCATCTCTCTCTCCTTCCCTTCCCTCTCCTTTTAGGATTCAACTCTTAAATTAAAAGAGGCAGAGGAAGCGCAAAGCACTTTACAAGCAGAATGTGAGCAGTACAGAACGATCCTCGCAGAGACAGTAAGTTCTTGCCCTTTTCACTGTGTTGGCTGCCCTCTGGAAATCCCTCTGGAGAGGTCTCCTGTCAGCCCAGGCTGTCCATGAGCTCAGGACGGGCATCCCTTGGCGTGTTGGGGGGGCTGCCCTGTGGTAGAGTATTTATCAGTGAGACAGAAGAACGGGATAAAAGTGAGTTTCTAGAGCTCTTCAGCCTAATTGTGTTGGAAACCTTGCTGATAAGGATGGGATGAGGCACAGCAAGGGCTCTGGTAAATGGGGTGGTTGAGCCAGAAGAGGGATTAGGAGGTCCCAGCCCCACCTGATTCTGTCACCTGTTGGTTGGTCACCTCCTTGGAGAGGCTTTGAGTATGCCAAGGCTTCCAGCCCTTACACTGCTCAGCCTCGTGGGGGCTGGAGGAGGTTTGGGCTCAGCTGCGGCTTTGCCCACAGGAAGGGATGCTGCGAAACCTGCAGAGGAGCGTGGAGGAGGAGGAGCAGGTGTGGAAGGCAAAGCTCACAGCGTCTGAAGAGGAGCTCAAAAAGGTGTGTGTTGGTGACAGACCTGGGTTTGGTGCTCCTGGGGCTTCCAGGAGAAGGGGATCTGTTGGCTATAAATGGTTTGGTGGCCCTCAGTGTTCCTGCCAGCTGTGAACACCGAGACACAAGAACTTCCTTTTCTCGCCAAATCTACCCCTCCTGTCACCAAGCCAGCTGACAAAAAGCCCACCTCATGTAAAATCTTTCCTCTTGAATGCAGAACTGAGATTGAGCTATTTTTCATGGCCTGGCTGTTCCCCAGCCATGATATGGGGTTTTGGAGTTAACTGGGACTGCAGGGAAGTGGAGGAAGCTGTTGTACAAGAGATGTTTGATTTCTCAGCCCACTGCTGGCTCCTGCAGCACCAGCACTGCTGAGGGCTGGTGTAGGATTGCACAGGGTGACGTGGCCGATGATGGTGTTCGTGATGGGAAGAACATCTGGTGCCTAGGGCAGCTCCCAGAGCAATCCTGCCTCTCGGTGGAGAGGAGGTGAACTCCTCCTTTCCAAAAACTTCAGCATTTGTAGAGTCCTCTTCAAAAACCAGCTTGGCTTTAAGTGTTTTTTTCTGGTAGCTTGCCCTTTCTTAATAATGAAGTCTATACCACCTCATTGGAAAATTGCTGCTTCCTAACCAAAAAGTGCTCTCAGCAGGAAGCTTATGCTGAGTCTGGTGCCAGTTTCTCGTGTGTTGAAACCTTACTGCAGCCATCTGAAATGCTGCAGGCAAGAACTGTTGCCTTGCTCCACCATTTATGGCCTGTGTGTGTTAGACTTGTTCTCCACTGGGAAGGAGAGCTCCTCTCTGGAGCTCTCCTTGGATGGATACAAGATGAAGTGGGAAAGGTGGGAGTCAAACAGCAGCCAGTTTTTGATTGAGCCAGAGGTACTCAGTGTCCTTCTCTGATCCTTTTTGCTTCAGTCACACCTGCAGCTGAAATCCCTGGAAGGTGTGGTGGAGAAGTTGAAAGCAGATCTGCAAAGCACAGATCAGGTGAGGTGTTTTGGGGAAGGGACGTCTCTGCACGGGTGCCAGAGAGGCATATGCTGTGCTTGGGTTGGCCCCATCTCCTGACTTGGCTTGGGAAAGGCAGACTTTAACCATAGGATGTTTGGGATGTTGGACTTCAGTCAACCCACCCCCTCCTGCTTTCCTCTCTTTTAATGCAGCTAAAGGAATACACCTCTCTTCTGGAAACACAACTGGAAAATCACTTGGAGACAGCCAGCTCCGAGCGCCAGAACTACACAAAAGAAGTTGGAGCTGTGAGTGTGGAGGCTGCTGCCTTCTTCACCTTCTAATCCTGCCTGCCCACCCATGCAGGTTTTGAGGATTTGACGAGTGCCCTGGGCATCTGGGAAGTGCCCTCGGGATCCACAGCTTTGCAAAGGAGGAGAATGCAGATGGAGATGGTTGCTCCAGTGTGGGTTTTAGACTCCTAAAGCCAAGAGTCATGGGCAAGGTGATGGGTCAGGGAGATCTCTATGGAGGTGCTGTCTGCAGGTCTTCGGTGGCCTGTGTGGTTTCTGTGGCTCAGGTGAGACAGACCTGTCCCATGGCTGTCTCTGCTTCAGCAGGCAGGTCAGCATGTGATGACACCATGACCTCTTTGGGAAGATATTTCATCATAAAAAAGCTTTCTTGGGCCAAAAAGTATAAAAACCAAGTGCATAAAAGGACTTGGTTTTTTTTCCTTTCTTTTCCTCCTTGGCAGTTGAGGCAGCTCTTGTCAGAGACTCAGGAGCAGCTGGAGGCAGCAAAGACTGAAACGCAGAAGCAGAGCAAGGAGTTGGCCCTGGTAAGGAGGGATCCTGGGAGATGCCCTGCTGGTCCTTGGGGCTGGTTTGCTAAGCAGCTGTGGGGCCAGCACCCTTCCTTGTGGCTGAGGGACGTCAGGAAGGCACAGCCATTGCATGGGCAATCCTGATGCTGCTGGGGACCAGACGTTCAGAGGCGATTACTGGGACCCAGGAGGAGATTTTTGTCTTTCTTCCTGTGGTGGGGGTGGGAAGGAAGGGAGAGCAGCAAGGCTTGCTTAAGCTGGTGTGTAGCAGCAAAACCCAGCTGCTCCACCATTGGACACTTGTCACCACACCAACACCATGGGGCAGGGGTTTGTGTGTCCGTCCATCCATCCATCCATTAATCTCTGAGCAGGATGAGGTAGAAGCATTTGCTCTGCATCCCTGGGAACTGTTAAGCCTCCAGCTACCCAGGTGAGATACCACTGTCCTGCTGTGGCAGAAACTGAGGTGGTTTTCCAAGCATTCCAGCTCATGTGCAAGCCAAAAAGCTGGCAGGCTTTATCTGTAGGCACCTCTGCGTTTTATGAAGGCTGTGGCACAGGGATATGTCACTGAGCCAGGCTTGCTGCTCATCCCTCAGCTCAGGCAGCAGCTGAGTGAGGCGAAGAGCCATGTACAGGAGGGAGAAGTGGGGTTACAAGCTGAGCCAAGTGAGCCTGCGCCCTTCGAGGTTGGGGTGGTGAGACCACTCCTGGGGAGGCTCTGACCCGTAACCATGTCCCATGTCCTGTGTCACCATCTCTCACCACATGGAGAACTGCACACGACTCTGCTCAAGGCTGTCACAGCTCTGTTGTGTCCCATCCTGTGTTGGGGGGGAGCCAGCCCAGCACCCCCCCATTAACCATGTATGCTTTTCCCATAGGGAACGCAGCAGTCGGCTTTCACTAGGCTGTTCCCCTTGGGAGCCCTCTCTCCTGGCATCAGGCTGGCAGACTTTGGGAGATGCAGGCAGGACGTGCTGTGAGCCCTTGGGCCAGCACTGCCATGTGACAGTGCCCTCTGGGGTTCAGAGTCTCCTCAGAGGAAGGGGACAACACCCCAACAAAGCTGTGCTGGGATCCCTTCCCAGCCAGGGAGAATTAGGATTACAGAGGCTTCATAAATCTTGCTAGAGCTGGGCTGAGGGCATTAGCAGCAGCTGTTCCCTTCCAGGCTGACACCTCTTACCAGTGGCAGTGCTCTGTCTTTCTCCTTTAATCCTGTTAACTGTGGAGCCTTCTCCCAGTCATGGGGTCTTGCCAGGCACATCTTTCTCTATGGGATGCCTCTCATCCCACATCCCATCTGGAGCTGCCTGAGGAGCAAGCATAATTGGGCAGTGCAAAGCCAGGCCCCAGGCTCACCATCAGCAAGCTCCCAGCAGAGGGAGGATGCTGGTACCTTTTGACCTTTGGTGCCATGGGGAGATCTTCTGTTTTTATTTCTCCTGTCCAGCCCAGCTCTCTTGATTATGTCCCTGCTAGCTCATTTCTTGAATCTTACTAAAATTTTATTTCTGGGTGTTTTCCCCTCTTCTCAACACAGTTGAAAACCCAGCTGGAGCAGAACGAAACACTGGCAGAGAAGGAGCAAATGCTGCGGCAAAAGCTGGCACGAGAGCTGGAGGAGGTGGGTGTGGGTGAGGATACCAGGGTTTGCAAAGCCTTCCTGGATTCCTGGCTGCTAATGAAGCCCAGGAATTAACTGGAATTAATCTGAAGGCTTTTCCCCATCACTGTCCACACCTCAGACATCACTGTGAGATGTTCCCTCCCACATCTGAAGGACCATCTTACAGCAGCTGTGCTACAGCCATATGGGATTACTGGCCCCTCAAATTGAGCTCTCCCAGTCCCCTCATGTCTTGTGCCAGCTTTTTCCTTTAAAGGGTTACAGGCCTTAGCTGGATTTCCTGTTGCTCCACATGAGAAGTGCCATCTCCCTGGTAGATGCTGGATCAGTACAAGCAATGTGTCTCTACCACCCAGCTCTTCAGCAGGACACACCCAGTGGGCACTCAGGGATGGCTGGAGCAGGATGAAATGCTGGCACCGTTGGCTTCTGTGTTTACTAAGTATGTCCCTTTCCAGGCCCAGAGCTTAGCACGCAGCTTGCAGGCAGAGCTGGAAAAGCTGAGACTGGCTGAACATGCAGCAGCTTCAGACAAGGAGGAGGCCCAGCATCTCAAGGTGAGTTGGCTGCACCACGACAGCAAAAGTCACATCTGAGCAAGACTGAGGGCGTGATTTATCATTTCTGAGGACTGGGGAGCGAGGCCCATGGTTACTCTTGCAGGAGAGGGCTGAGAGCTCCACCGTGGCTAAAGGACAGCAGGGCCACTGCCACTGCATCCCTGCAGGCCAAGATCAATGTGATGTCCTGAGCAAATATTCACAGGCTGGGCTTTTCACACACTGGGAAGCCATCCAGTCCTAGCCCATGGCATCTCCAGGGAGCCAGAGAGAGCTTTAGGGTGTGCTTGTTCTCCCTGTTGAGAATTGGGTGTTCCCCTGGCCTGTGGTCACTGAGACAGCTTGATGCAGACCCGAGGTGGCCTGAGGTGTTTTGAAGGGCAGAAGGTCACCAGGTGGCAAAGGGAGGCTCAGGCAGGTGCCTTCTTTTGACTGCCATGTAGGAAACACTTGAAAAAGAAATTAACAAAAGACCTAGGCTAGGCAGCAACCAAACTACATGAGCTACATGAGGTTACCCAGGACCATCGAGAGAGAAATGGTGAAGAAGTTGAAAGAACAGCTTCAGGAAAGGGTATTGGTGGTGGCCATGTCCCTCCCCTTGAGGCTGGTGGAGGCCCTGTGGCAGTGTGTGGCAGGCAGGGCTTTAGTAGTGGAGGCAATGTGGTCCTTGCTGTCAGAAACCATTTGGTGGCTTTTGGGAAACCCTGAGACCACATGGGATGGTGGTCAAGGTCCTCCCTGCCCCACAGGCAGGACCTGGCCCGTCTGTGAAATGCTTTGGGCCTAGAGCTGCCATGAGAATAAGGGTGAGGCCTAGCTGAGTAACCCGCTGCTTTTTTCATTCTCCAGGGGAAAGAGGACAGTTCAAAGGAAGGAACTTCAGTTTGACGAGTCTTCACCCTGGACCTTACAGTTAACTTACCAAAATGCCTTACACATTCCTAAAAATAAAAATTTATGCTAAATTTACTGTAGATAAAAAATACAAGCCATTAGTAACCCAAAACATAGTTTTGAAACTTAAAAGAAAACATTAAAAAAAAAAACCAACCAAAAACCAACCAGTAAACACTGCAGTTTGTAAGAAAATCTTCATACTGTTTTGTACAACTCTTCATATCCTGAGAAGCTGCTGTGGCCACGCCGGGCACGTGCTGGGGCTTCACCCTCCTCTTCCAGCAGAACCCACCAATGTGTGAAAAGGGAAGACTGTGTTTGTACATCAACCAGTGCAATTATAATTATACTTTTTTTTCCTTTTTCTTTTTTTTTTTTTTTTTTTTTTTTGAGTGAAAGGAGTGTGAAAGTAAGACCTACCATGGGAGGATGCCTCTTGGATGGGTGGCTCTTCGCACGTGTCTGGGTGTTGATGCAATTAAAATGATGTAGTGAAGAGAGCTTATCCTTGCTTTATTTTTCTTGGAGGTTTGTTTGTTTGGGTTGGGTTTTTTAAGTTTGCAAGCGAGGTAGGGCTTTGGGGTCACTGGAGAAAGACCCTGCTCTGGCCAGGAGCATATTCTTTATTCCCCCTTTGCTGGCTATGTCATAGAAGCCATCCCCTGGTTTTGATCCACTACAAGCAATGGAGAGACAAAATTCCTTCCCACTGTTTTCCCACTGATGGCCCAGAGCTGGCCTTGCTGTGTAGGGTTTGGCAGAGGGATTGACACTTTTGCCATGGCAGTAGGGGCATGGTGGGGACAGGGTCCATTCCTCCTGCTTGCTTTAAACCTTAGTGCTCCCCTGTAATCTGTCCCTGCGGGTGCTGTGTGATGGTGGTTGCCCTCGCTTTACTGTCAGGCCCTCCAGCCCTCTACTCTCCCTTGTTGTTTTACCTTTGTTTTTCTCCTTTTTTTTTAAATTGTTCTTTCATTGTTCTTTTTTCATTTCTTTTTTATTTTCAAGCTGGTTTCTTAGGAAATGGCAGAGGCCACGTGACAGCTTGGCCCACACTAAAGCTGCTGAGCCCAGTGCTGGTATCAGCAGGTTTTGAGAGAGGGGAGGAAAAGGCCCCTCGGTCCCTCCAGTCTGTGCAAAGAGCCAAGGCCAGCAAGGAGGATGAGGGGCAGGCCTACTTCCATTTTGTTCCTGGGGAAGGCCAGTGTGTGACCAACACCTGTACTGCACACCAGAGACTCCACAGGACTGGGACATCCTGTCCCTCCCTCAGCACTGTGGCCTTTGGGGCCATGATGAAGGGTGGGGGAGAACTGTATGTGACTCAGCTGGGACCAGGTAAGAAAAAGGGCCAAGAAAATGGGGAGCTGAGAGCTACCCCTGCCCCCACCCTTGTGTGTATCCCCCCACTCCCTGTCCCAGGTAGAAGATGGGGCTGCTCTCCCCATCCCAGAGGAACAAACACTTGAAGCAGACCTTTGCCGAACAACCAGGATTAGCCTGTGGTTTATCTTCCTGGACTTTGTGGCACATGTAAAGGAACACATGAATAAAGGGCCACTGGTGCCCTCAGCCTGTCAGTACTGTCACTTGCCCCAGTTCAGCATGCCTGACCTGTTGGATTGAAGCTCTCCAAAAGTGAGGGAATGCCTTCATTAGATCAGGATTGCACAAAACCCCCACCCAACCCACAGGCTGGAGGGAGCTGTCAAGCTTGTCAGGGTGGCTCTCACCACGGGGAGAAAGGGCCCCGCAGCCACAGGTGCCGGGAAGTGATGCAGTTCCTTTGGTTTTGCAGTTTTTTGCTTTTGCAACAATTCTTTCCTTTATTGTGAGCTCCTGTGCACAGACAGCAGATAACCAGGCCTGCCCACAGAAGCAGTAACAGACCCCAAACAGCCAATGCAGGAACGGCAGTCAGTGTTCCAAATGCACCACGGAGCAGGTTGGCTCTGGATGGGGCTCCAAAGGCTGCCCCAGAGCAGATCTAGTGTCCCCAGCCCCAGGGCACATGATGCACTTCTGGCACACAATACCAAGATGGCTGTTTTAGGAAGAAAGAGAAGGGCTGTCCTTGTGAAGCAAAGCTGAAATAAAATAACTAGTTTGGGGGAAATTTAGTGGATTTTTTTTACACCTGGCATGGTACTGTTGCCATTTTTTAATTCTGTTGGGGCCTTGATGGAAGCGGAAGGACATCCTGAGGGGCCAGGAGAAAGACATGACCTGCCTAAACGCAGATGGAACTGAGGCCTGGCCAGCCCCTGCTCTCCCCACAGCTGGTGGGATTTTGCCATATGCCCACCCAGCATCACCTCCTTTCCTCCAGGAGAGCCACCCAGACTTGGTGCTTGTCAGCCCGTGACTCACAGCAGCCCCAGCACTGCAGGCAGGTACCTTTATTGATAAAGATCCAGAAATTACTCAGCTGGAGAGACATGGAATAAGAACACTGGATCCTTCTGCTGATTCAGCCATGCCTGGAATTACCTTTCAGGCTGCGTACCTAAGCTTATCAAGGCACAGTTGAAGACACTCAATTTAACCTTTGTTGTAAATTACATTTACACTGCCTACTGTTTACACTTAGGCCTGAATTATCAGTTTCTATTTCTTGTTCTCATCTTCTCACAGGCCGAATGGACAAAAATGGCTTTTGGGAAACCATTGCCTGCATTTGGACTTCAAAATGCACTACCTGGGCAAGTCCTGCTGAGGTTGTGTGACTAAGCTGCTTCCCTCACCTGAATTCTTTAATCTTTTTCTTCATGTACCCCTGTTATGACGTGATTTCTCCCACCAGAAACCAGCCAAGTTATAGGGAGCATTCACCATGTTGTCTCTCCCTGCTTGCCTTCTGCCTTTGCAGAAGGTCAGGGTGATTTGGGAGAAAAAAAAACAGTCACAAGAGTTTCAACCCCTCAAAAGTCAGGACAAACAATCCTGGGAGGGGAAGCAAACCCCACATGTGCATAAGCCCACAGCACCATAGCTCTGAGGATTAGGAGTTACTGTTAGTTCTGGAGCACAAAGATCAATACATTTTAGGACTTCTTTCAAGGGTCCCAAAAGGAGGCAGACTTATCAAGAGGCTGAAGCTATGGCACCACACCCAGCCAAGGCCCAAAGTGTCACCTCTTATCACTCAGTTCTGGGACAAAGGTACTTTGAACCCAAGTCCCTGATTCAAGGGCTTTCACATTATGGGAAATGCTCTTCTACCTTACAGGTCTGACATCCTTCCTCTTTTGCATTGTCTCCCGCTCCATTTTGTGACAAAGGAAAGAAATCCTAGGAAGAAGTGACCACAGTGGCACTCGAGCTAGATAAAGATGCCTGCAGCCTGGAGGCACCAGCTAGCAGCTGGATCTTGGCTAGGAGTTGCCTGTTTGTCAGGCAGCACCACTCCCAGTGTGTCACACGGGTTTCCTTATCTCCCCCTAGACTTTGGACAGAGATCAGTGCTGCAGCCACCTGGGTGAGGAGGAGCTGTTTATGAGGATCATTACACACTTGGGCGAGCCTCTAGTTGACTGAAAGACAAGCTAGAAGCCCCAGCAGAATCCAAGCCTGTTTGCTTTGCTCAGAATCAGGAAGCTGCACTCCAATGGTTCCCTCTGCATCAGAAAACCTCGTGCTCCCAGCCCTTCGACCGGCATGGGTGCCAAATCAGAGCAATCAGTCGATGCCTGTCTTTAATGAAGGGTTTTAACCACACAGCCTGGCCAGAGAGGGCACATGCTGAGTTAGGTAATGGCCATTAGCCCTGGTCCCCAGGCACAGCAGCACAGTGCTGGCACTGCTCTGCCAGGAGTTGAGTGGACACTGGAGCTTTCTGTCCCTGCACAGCTGTGAACAGCTCGGGAAGGGCCATCCTGTGACTGCCCAGGCTTTATGGGCCAAGCCAGAGGAAGCTCCCTCAGTCCTCAGAGGGAAATCAGTACAGAACAACCAACACATGGCTGGGCTCCTGCTGCTCAGACTGCAAACAGGGAGATGGCTCCCAGGATGGCCCCCAGCCAATGGGAATTTGGGACCAAAGCCTTAAAGGCAGAGACAGGTGCTGTTTGGGAGCTGGAGCCTGCAGCATGCAGGGGAATGCAGAGCCAAATAGGGGAACGCTGCAGAGACAAACCTGCTTTCCCCCCAGATCCCTCCAGCTTCACCAGCTTTTCCTTCCAGTCTGTTTCCCCCCGTTCCTGCTCCCGAGAGCAGGGCAGGGCAGTCGCTGCAGAAGGCACAGCAGCTCCCTTAGTGCTTACCCAGATCCAGCAGTGCCAGCCCCACTGCAGGAGGGCTGATCCCGAGGCTGGAGAGCAATCAGTCACTGACCCAGGGGAGGGAAAGCCCATTTATTTAGGCTGTTCAAATTTGGCACGCACAGAACATATCACAGTAATGCACTGGAGGCTAAGGGTTTTGGTTTTTTTTTCTTTTTCTCTACAGACATACAAGAAAACTCTATGCAACTCCCATGTACACATTACACAAAGGAAACAGCTTTAATCAACCACTGATGAAACATGGAAGCTTTTAAGATCTCTGTAGCTGGCACAGGAATGTTCTCTACCCCCCATACAAAAGGCATTTCAGGTCAAACTTTCTAGTAGGTGATATTTCCATGCATTTCTACAGAATTAAAGAAGCTACCAGACAAAAAGCCCAGATCAAGCCATATTAGTCAGGCTGATTGGTTCTACTAAGTCAAATCAATAGTAATTATGGACAAATGGACCGAGAGACCAAAGATTGGGGCTGAAAATATCATTTTTTAAATTGCGGTTCCTTTTAATTTTACTACCCATAACTGGAGAGCTCTAATATAAGAATCTGCGTTTGTAAAAGCCTCAGAAGCATCTGATCCATTAGTAAGTGTACACTAGAGAAAGGTGGTTCTAAATTAAACTATGCCAACAGAAAAAGCAATTTCTATAGAATTACTCAGGAGGAAAGAGATCTCAAGACACTTCATAACAAGAAAATTGAAACTACAGAACAAGTGAACCTTTAAATATTATTACTGCACTGTAAGTTTACAGGAGAGTGGATTAGGACTATTTCTCCAGAAAAAGTGTGTCTGTTTTATGTCTAGCTTCATAATTAGGCTTTTTTAGTACAGCTCTGCAACTGCAAGCACTAAGAATTTAACCCAGTTGTGGTGCTAACAGGTTGCTTTAGCAGAAGTTAAACTATGGGTTTTAAGTTTTGTCTTAAATGGTTACAGGGGAAAGTTTTTGAATTTTGCTTGTTAGTATTTAGAAAAAGCAAGAACAGGAACCAGATTGTTCTTACCTCTCCACCTTTCATGATACACTGCTCAAATTTTTGGAGACCTTTAGTGTTAATCCACTGGGGACAGTACTGGGCTGGACAACCAATGCAAATATTAATACACCAAGATAAATCCTTAATTTCATTTATTTAGGGTCATTTGTACATACAAGCTACATCTCCAAAATCTACTTTATTCTACAAGACAGCTTCCCTACTGTTAGTGAAA